CCCAGCCTCCTCTGGCACTGGCCCCATCCTCCTGTCCTCGGTGGCAGCCTAACAGGTCAGGTAGGCTGGGGGCGTGGGGGCGTGAGGAGCACGCCCCACTTCCTGACATATTCCCTGGATGTCCCCTAAGTCTGGTCCAAGTAGTATTTTCCCACCTCAAAGCCAGTCTCCCTAATACTATCGATTGGTGACCAGAGGTAGTACGCTGGCCCAGCTGTTGGCCCAGTGAAGTGGGAGGCTCTAATCTACATTTTCTCACTTTCCCTCTCTGGTGAGCGCATGCACCCGATGGCAAAAACCTACACACACACACACACACACACACACACACACACTCCTCTGCCCCACCTCAACACCGACCGGCCGTGTGCTCTCCCCTCACCAGCCTGCCTGTGGCTCTCTTCATCCCAGCCACTGCTTTGGGAGTCACTGCCAACCCTCTCCTCTTACCCTCGCCTCTAACTGGCAGAGGGCCTGACGACTCCCCTTCCCGTTCCCACGGCCTCCACACACATCCTGACCTCTGTCACCTCCAGGGAACCCGGAGACAGGCAAAGGAACAAAAAGAAGGGGTGAGCCGTGGGGACACAAGGGAGGGGCACGTCCATCCTTACCGAGGGAGCCCCAGACAGACTTGCCGGTGGCGGCGTCCAGCATGGGCTGCTTGCGGGCTATATTGACTTTGAGCTGCACGGATTCCACCTGGGTCCCGTTGAGCTGGAGCAGAGAGGGAGGGGCGGGGAGGAGGAGAAACATTACAGATAAACCTAAGGAGCTGCTGTCCTGGGGCGGATTCCAAAGGGATCTGAGCAAGCCATTTCTCTGTGTGGACAGGGAGAGGCTCCCTCTGTCAAGAGGAACCCCTTTCCTCCTGGCTTCCAGTATTTTAAGACAACATGGAGACGGCAGGAGGGATGGGTAGAACAGATGTGGGAAGTCCCAACCTCAGCCACAGCCTGATCTGCTGACTCCATCTTTTCATAGGTGACAAAGGCACAGCTGGGACAAGAGAAAACAGGGTTAGTACAAGGCCATGGGCGTCTGGGCCCACCAAGCCCGAGCCGGTCTGCTAGAGGCAGGGCGGCGTCCTCCCCCGGGCCACACCAGGGCTCTCCCAGGAGCTCCCATCACGCCGCGTTGCTGTCCTTACTTTCTGGGGGGGTCCATGGAGAGGTCGATGATGTTCCCAAAGGGAGAGAAGGCCCCACGGAGGAGGGCGGGCGTCATGTCTTCTCCATACACGTAGAGAGTGTTCCCCTTCCGAGGGGCCCGGCGCTCCGGGAACGAGTCCGACCCTGTGGGATGAGGAATCGGTCACGACACACCCATCTTACCCCGCACCGAGTAGGACCCACTGAAACCCGAGCTGCGGTCACTCACTGCGGAAAGGGCCCTCTCGGTCCCGCTCCCGCTCCCGGTCTCGATCCCGGTCCCGGTCCCGGTCTCGATCCCTGTCCCGCTCCCGGTCCCGGTCCCGATCTCGATCTCGTTCCCGCTCTCGGTCTCGATCCCGCTCCCGCTCCCGTTCCCGGTCTCGATCCCGCTCCCGCTCTCGGTTCCTCTCATGACTGCGGTCCCGGCTGCGGCTTCGGGGAGGGGAGGCGGAGGAGTGGGCACCACCACGTTCTTCATAGCCCCAGTCGAAGCTTCGAGGGGGGCCATCACCAGTCCCTGGGCCCTCTGCCTCTTCCCCATCTGGCCCCAGTTCCCGAAGCCGATCGCTGGAAGACACGAAGCTGCAGAGAGGCAGAGGGTGAGGCTCAGCAGTGAGGCGTTTGCTTTCTCCTCCTGGCTCTCTGGAGCATCGGCACTCCCACTGAGCCTGGCTTCTTCGACTTCTGCCTAGAAACCTCCACAGGATTAGGCAGTGAACCACACCGCCACCCCGGTCTCCCGCCAAGCGGGACTCCCAATCCCATCTAACCTCTCATACAGCGATTTCCTCTGGGGACGCCTGGATGACTGAAAGAGACCAAGCACAGTCAGGACAAGTTCCAGTCGCTGCCATGGGGCCCAACACTGGGGAGTCTCTCAGCCGCCTCGATCCAGCCCCTCAGGGACAGACAGGAACCATTACCTCCTGCAGGTCATCGTCAGCAGATATGCTTCTTTGGAACGGCTGGAAAGTGGGGGCTGGCCCCTTCTCAGGGTCCTGGAGAAGAGGCAGAGACCTACCTCAGGGTCACAGCAGGTGGCTGCCCAACCAGGGATTAGAGGGACTCCTCTTCCCACACCACCTTCTTGGCTGCTTCAGAATTTTTTGTTTTAAAATCTATGTACTTTTTTTTTTTTGAGAGGTTTTTGTTATAGGGCGCGTGTGCTCGCCAGACAGACAGAGGAAGACAGAGAGACAGAAAGCGAGAAATCACCCCCTCAGGGGGGATGGCCACGCTGCAATCCCTCCTCCTCCATTCTCCTCTCGGGATCTTGGGCATGCACGCACACGCGCCCGGCGTGAGTTTAAGCCACCAGGTCCAGGACGCACTACATGGGAGTCCAGCAACATAGCCATTACGCTAACTGCTGGTCCCAGTCTATGAACGTTTCTTGACAATACAGTACATTTTATAAGTGATCTAATGCATACGTCAAGTACTTGGTTTACCAGACCTCTCTTCTATCTGACAACATTTTCCATCTATTTGACCCTTCAGAGCAGCATGTCTTCAAAGCTCTAATCCGAGGTTGGCGTAGAATTAGAATCACAGGTGGTGTAACATGGAGAAGAATTTAGGAGCTGCCCAGTTTTCCCACTTCGCAGATGGAAAACCTAAAGCTCAGAGTGGCACAGCAATCTGCCCAGGACTGGACAGCATTACTTTTCCCCTAAACTCACCTCCCTTCCAACATGGCGAGATGCCCTCTACAGTCAAGAGTGCCCCAAACCACCCTTCTGCGCTGCTCACCTTTAGCTTCCCCTCTAGGGTCCGTGAACGTTTGAAGCCTGAATTCTTGGTCTCAGCCTTGATGGCACTGATGGCTCCTGACTTCACCAGCTGCTTTGCCTGCTCTGTGGCTGTGGCCGTGTCCACCACAGGCTGCTCAGAGAGTGCTGGGCAGTGAGGGAAGAGGCAGTACGTTGGTCCAGCGGCGAGAGACGCCCAACCCGTGCTCCCCGTGCTCCCCGTCACTCACAGCGTTTGACACCGCCCTGGCTGGCTGTGCTGCTGCTGCTTTGCTTCTTCAGAGCCAGCAATGCCTTTTTCTGGGAACGAGGGTGAGAGGAGAGAGGTCAGCGACAGCCAGTCCCTGGACAGGTCCTCTCCCAAGGCCACTGGACACACACGCCTTTCTTGGAGAAAACAGTGCAAATGGTATCCCCAGAGGGGTACAATGAGGCAGGCCTGCCTCTCACATCTAGTCTCCCAGATCATCTACAATGCCAGCAACACCGAATCCAACCAGTACCCTGAAGCTTTCCAGAGTGTCATTTTTGAAAACTGAAGATGAAGAACTCACTTATGAAGCTGCGCTCCAGGATATAAGCTGCAAATAAATACAAGGCTATGTGTCTTTCTCGAGGGTTTCGTCCATCCAGCCCCTGCATATTTAGCGAGGCCCGACCTTGACCTTGTAACAGGGATATACAGTATGTGATCCAAACCTTCAAGAAACTTATGGTATAGGGAATAAATCAACTAGATTGAACGGCCCGAAATGCTTATGACGGGTGCAGATTACCCACAGCTGAAAGCAAACAAGATTTTCTGATATTTAATGGCAACTGGGCACTGCAGAAGAGAAGGAAGACAGCAGTGACAGGCGCACAGCTCAGGCGGCTTTGGGAATGCACTCGCTGGAACTGTGAGCTGTTCTATGGGATGAGACGTGGATGACAAACTGAGGTTTTGGGGCTTTGTTCTATACACAATGTGACACCACTCGTGGGGTTTGGAGAGAACACAAAGTTTGTGTTTTCAGTGCATCAGTTTAAAAGAGGCGAAGAAGTCAGTCCAAAAAAGACTGAGAAATTTGTTGAGAGAACATTACAACAGCCCAGATGAGTGTTAGCAAAGTCCTGCTCAGGGGAATACACAGGAAAGAACAAGCAGGAGAAATCACTTAAAAGGAATTTTTTTTTTTTCTTAAAGGTTTTCACCATAGGGCAAAAACAGGCTTTCACTGGAGAGAGACAGAGACAGAGAGAGGGAAAGTGAGGAAATCACCCTTCAGGGATGGCCACACTGCAATCCCTTCTCTTTCTGGGATTTCGGGCATGCACACACGTGCATCTGATGTGATTTTCAAGCCCCCAGGTCTGGGACTTGAACCGCAGTTAGCCATGAGGGAATCCAGAGCTTTCACCACACCACCTGCTGGCCCCTGGGAGGAATTACTTTAAAAAGAAGAATCAAGATGTGGCCAATGTGTGGTCATACACACTAGAATAGATGTCAGAGATGAGATTTTGAGTCCAAACACATAGGAGAATTGAGTATCTTCAGTCCTATTTGGAAAATCAAGAAAAGGAACTAGGTTAGAATAGTTAAGAAAGAGCTTCCATTTTTTAGTATTTGGAAATGATCAGTAAGACATTGAATGGAATTAGAAAAATGAAGCCTGGGGAGGAGCAGCTCTTCAGTGATACTAAAAGCCATAGGTCAGGAAAACAATGCCCCAGCATAGATAAGAGAAAGTCCACACTAAGATTTGGGAAAGCTACGCTGAAAGGTGACATGCCTCCAGATATGAGCCTGAAGAAGCCCCCTGCCCTGCCCAGTGCCCTCACACTCACCCCAAGAGTTCTCGGGGTGCAGGGTATGCCAAAGGTTGAAGCCTACACCCCCACACACTCTCTCACCTTTTTTTTCAGTTTGTTGAATTTCTTCTGCAGAGCCTCCTCCTCCTCGCTCAGTCCGGGGGGTATCACCAACATGGTGGCTCCTGGTTCAGGGGCAGGGCCCAAGACATCTTTCTCCACTGTCACCACCCAAGGTT